TTTGTGTTTTTTGTTTGGAGCCGTGGGGTTGGTGGAGAAGCTCGTGCTCGTGCCTCGGCCCCGATGCTGCTGTTGCGCTGAATAAATACATAAATACATAAATAAATAAATGCATAAATAAATATATATGCGCTAATACATAATGCATGAATAATCTGTGTTGAGACGGAGGGGCCCCTGAGAGCAGCTCCGCGTTTACACCCGACTCCCGCTCCCGACTCCCGCTCCGACTCCTGCTCCTGACTCCTGCTCCTGCGACTCCTGCTCCCGACTCCTGCTCCTGCTCCCGACTCCTGCTCCCGACTCCTGCTCCCGACTCCTGCTCCCGACTCTCTGCTCCCGACTCCTGCTCCTCCCGACTCCTGCTCCTGACTCCCACCCTGCTCCCGACTCCTGCTCCCGACTCCCGACTCCGCTCCCGACTCCTCCCGATCTCGACTCCTGCCGACTCCTGCTCCCGACTCCTCCCCGACTCCTGCTCCCGACTTCCTGCTCCCGCTCCCGACTTCCTGCTCCCGACTCCTGCTCCCGACTCCTGCTCCCGACTCCTGCGACTCCTCCACTCCGCTCCGACTCCTGCTCCCGACTCCTGCTCCCGACTCCTGCTCCCGCTCCCGACTCCTGCTCCCTGACTCCTGCTCCCGACTCCCGCTGCTCCGACTCCTGCTCCCGACTCCCGACTCCTGCTCCCGACTCCTCTGCTCCGACTGACTCCTGACTCCCGACTCCTGCTCCTGCTCCCGACTCCTGACTCCTGCTCCCGACTCCTGCTCCCGACTCCTGCTCCCGACTCCTCCTGCTCCCTCCGCTCGACTCCCGACTCCACTCCCGACTCCTGCTCCCGACTCCCGCTCCCGACTCCTGCTCTCCCCGACTCCGACTCCTGCTCCACTCCTCCGACTCCCGACTCCCGACTCCCCGACTCCTGCTCCCGACTCCTGCTCCCGACTCCTGCTCCCGACTCCTCGACTCCTCCCCGCTCCCTCCCGACTCACCTCCGACTCCCGACTCCCGACTCCTCCCGATGCTCTGACTCCTACTCCCGACTCCCAAAAACAAAAGAGAAAACTCTGTCCCACTTGTCCTACTCCCTCTAGTCCCAAAACCACACGGAAAAAAAAAATCTGTCTTGTCCCAGTACAGGTCATAATAAGACGCATGACCTGAGAAAAGACCCGGTTTAGACCTGGTTTAGTCCCAGTCTAGACCCTCTTTAGTCCTACTTTAGTCCCACTCTAGACCTCCTTTAGTCCTGGTTCAGTCTTGGTTTAGTCCCAGTCTAGACCTTGTTTAGTCCTGGTTTAGTTCCAGTCTAGACCCTATTTAGTCCTGGTTTAGACCTGGTTTAGTCTGAGTCTAGACCTCCTTTAATCTTGGTTTAGTCCTTGTTTACTGCCAGTCTAGACCTTCTTTAGTCCTGGTTTAGACATAGTCTAGAGCCTCTTTAGTCCTGGTTTAGTCCTTGTTTAGTCCCAGTCTAGACCCTCTTTAGTTCTGCTTGAGACCTGGTTTAGTCCAAGTCTAGACCTTCTTTAGACCTAGTTTAGACCTGGTTTAGTCCTGGTTTAGTCCTAGTCTAGAGCCTCTTTAGTCCTGGTTTAGACCTGATTTAGACCGAGTCTAGACTTTCTTTAGTCCTGGTTTAGGCCTGGTTTAATCCCAGTTTAGACCTTCTTTAGACCTGGTTCAGTCTTGGTTTATTTCCACTCTAGATCCTCTTTAGTCCCTGGTTTAGACTGGGTTTAGTCCTGGTTTAGTCCCTGGTCCCATGTGGCTTTATATCTGTGTAATCCCTCAATGGTCCAGGTCTAAACCAGGACTAAACCAGGACTAAACCAGGACTAATTCAGGTCTAAACCAGGACTAAACCAGTCCTTGGGTGTGTAGTCGTTCTGTTTTAAAGGATTTCGTTGCAGTTTCTTTTAATAAAGCTGAAATACATAAATAAACAGATTAAATTAAATATAAACATAAATATTAATAATAATCCATATTTTCCAGATTCCCGTCGGCTCATGTTTTATGGATAAACCTGTGCTCGGCTCTTCTGCCTTTAGGCCTGTGCAGCTTTTACATTTTATTAGGAATATTTATGAAGGATTATTTTCAGGGGACGTTAAGGTGAAGGTGGCACAGTGGGTCCAGCGCTCGGCCACCAACCACAGGGTAACTGGGTCTGAACTCTTATTGTAGATGAAGCTCCTCGTTCAGCTTCAGGACGGACTGAAGCACCGAGGATTCTTTAAAAAAACAACAACATTGTTGTAAAGAATCAAAGTTTTCTTTTTCATGAGACGCATGACCTGAGAAAAGACCTGGTTTAGAGCTGGTTTAGTCCCAGTCTAGACCCTCTTTAGTTCTGGTTTAGTCCTGGTTTTGTCCTGGTTTAGACCTGGTTTAGTCCTGGTTTAGTCCTGGTTTAGACCTGGTTTAGACCTGGTTTAGTCCTGAAAAATGAAAAAAAAAAAAAAAGGATAACGACTGTTTCCCATTTATGTGTCTTAAATTGGGATGTCGGACTGAACCAGGACTAAACCAGGACTAAACCAGGACTAAACCAGGACCAAACCAGGATTACACCAGGACTAGAACAGGTCTAAAACAGGACTACACCAGGACTAAAGTCTCAGTCATCGTCTCAGTCCTGATCTGATTCTGGTCTGGTCACATCTGGTCCTGGTCTTAGTCTTGATCACCCAACTGTCCACACAGGTGAACCTCCGACCCATCCTGACACTCAGTCCTAGTTTAGTCCGTTATCAGTTTTTTCCATTATTAATTTAAACACAAAATCTAAAACTTAAAAAAAAAAAATCATTATCTGTTTTTTCATTTTGTTTTTGGAGACAAATAATGAAGAAATCTGTTGTTTTTTCATTTTCTTATTTTTTAGTTTTCAATTGAAGCTCATGTGGTGAACAGTGAACAGAAAACAGTGAAATAAAAACTTCAGGATCATGTGTCGCGGGTTTATACGAACATTTTCAGACCAAAATGCCGAGGCCACAGCAGCAGAAACAGAGAGAGGAGCCACAGTATTGTAATGGAAGTCAATGGGAGCCAGAGTCAGTGGAGCCAGAAGAGCCCCCATGCTCACTTCCTGTTTGGAACACGGCGGCTGGGGGATTAGTTATATCCATGTATATAAAGAGTCTGTTGTTTCTGAGTGAGATGTTTTGTGTTTGTGTTTCAGAGCATGATCTCGTCCATCGTGAACAGCACGTATTATGCAAACGTCTCCGCCTCCAAGTGTCACGACTTCGGGCGCTGGTACAAACATTTCAAGAAGACCAAGTTCCTCAAAGGTAAGAGTCCGCTCAACGTTTCAAACATTTACCACCACAGCTGAGCTCACGCGTTCACGTTGTTGTAATCAGTGTTGTACCTGTTCATATTTTGGATTTTGGGCGGACGTGAGCTGTTGTGTGGAACAGCTCAACAGTAAACAAACTTCGTCGACATGGATGTAGACGAAGACAGACATTCTCCAGATCCCCGAGGATTTAAAGCCGGAACAGAGAGAATGTTTGGTGAATTTGATCTCGGGGAAAGACGTTATTGTTCTTCTTCCTACGGGATTTGGAGCATTACAAACGTCACGACCAAACAGCAGCGATTGGTTCAATAAAAAAATGTCCCCGCCTCCTGTCGAGTGAACGAATCCTAATGCTGCGAGGTCACACGGTTTACACCAAGTGAAACCAACCATTTCGACTCGACCATTTTGAGTCACTACACTCTTTGACAAAATTTGGGCCAATCAAAATCGACAGAGCGCATGAGTTTGGCAGATAAAAAAGTTCCTAATTGGACACTCTTTTCCCCCACGTCAGGACGCAGAGTGTGACGGAGGATAAAGCCGGAAATGTGCTCGGAAAGCCTCAACTTTCAACTTTTCAAAGAAAAAGAAATAAGTTTCTATCTTTATAGTTTAAAGTTCTGCACGGTTTTATAAAACAAATTCTCAGGCATCGTAAACGAATCCGTTGCTCTGGAAGGTTTCATTCTCTTTTGGCAAGATTAAAACTCAAACCTGTTTTATTTTTTCGTTTATTTCAGAAGTGGAGATGTTGAGTGACGCACATCCTCCTCCCCCCCGGCCACCGACCACAGCCACACCCCCTGACCCCTCCGCCCTGACGTTCCCTCGCGGGGGGTCCCTCTGTGCCCCTCCCCCCTCCCTGCCCGCACGCCCCCCTGGACTGCCCACCCCGCCCCTCAACCCCCCCGTGGTCAACCCCCTGGTCATGGCTCAGCTTCTCAACCGCCAGTACGTGGTGAGTCACATGCTTGGCCAGTTCATGCCCCCCTCCCCTCAGCAGTACCTCCACCACCCCCCGGTCGGCGGCGGGGGCGGCGCCAGGGTCCAGACGAAGCCCAGGGCCCCAGAGCCTCAGGGTCCAGCTCCGGCTCCGTGCCTGGGAGGAGGGCTGTCGGCGGGGGCGCAGACCGTCAGCTCTGCCGGGGCGTTCGGAGGAGGCGTGGACGTGCCCTTTGACATCTACCACAGCGTGAGGGAGGAGCTGAAGAGGGCGGGCGTGTCCCAGGCCGTGTTCGCCCGCGTGGCCTTCAACAGGACTCAGGTAAACTCAGGTTTATGTTTTTAAACGGACTCTGAAGAGCTTTAAAGAGCCACTGAACACTAAAATTCTCGGTGTAAATGTGTCTAAAACAGAAGTGTGTCTCTGTCTCTGGACTCATTTTGGCATTTTTGTGCAGATTTGTTAAAAATGTGACTTCTAGGGTCAAAGTCGTGTCTGTGTCGGCCTCTTTAGGATCAACTACGGTCAGGACATTTGAGTTTTCAGGTTGGACTAACGGTGCAGATGAGTCAGTAACAGGTTATTATGTGACGAGTGCAGACACTGGTGTTTACGGGCTGGGACGTGAGGAGCCTCTCTCAACCCCGCCCCCACCTGGCACCGCCGGGCACCACGACATCCCGCCTTGTCTGGAGAAAAGAGAAGCGGCGTGATCCGAGCACAAATGTTTGCTCAGTTTCAAAGTCCGGAGGCACCGGTCTGCACCGTGTTGGATTATTGTGGCTGTTGGTCGGCTGTCAATCATCTCTCCAGAACCCGCCCCACCCCCGCTCCCCCTGACCCTCCAGGCTCCGCCCACTCTGGAGGATTTTTTAGATTTTGCTTAAGTTCGGAGTAAAGCTTCAGGAGGAGGTTTAATGTCTCTTTAACTTTTTTCCAATCCAAATGTAAAAACATGGGAAAAAATCTCACGAGATCATTTTCAGCCTGTGTGAACAAACTCGTGGCATTTTTACCTCATGAGATCTTTCCTATTCTTAGATTCTGTGTACACTGAAACGTATTACCGTATCGGAAACACGTCGTTCCTTTGTCTGCAATCTTTCCCTATCCACACAGCTTTGAGCAAATTTGTTTGTTTTACAGAAACGAAACTTAAAATCACATGACTCATTTGCATAAACTAAGCCTAAAAAAAACAGCTCGCTCCTTGTGCGCTGATGCGATTCAGCTTCTGTTGGACTAAAGGACACGACTCAGTGGAATATGAGTGTTCTCTCTGTGACAGAGGGGTGTTCTGTTGAATGTGTCTGAAGTTGCAGCAGCTGATTTCGAGCTGAGAAAGATGGCGAGAGTAAAATCTGTCTTTTCGTGGACCATGTACTAGTGAGTATTTGTATCTTGGCTGTTTCTCGTTTGTCTCTGGTTTGTTTAAACTGTTTTCCACAACAGTGTCACATGTCGATGTCACGAACCCAGAGAATCAGAAGGAGCGATTCACAGTGACATGACCAATCAGGACGAGACTCCAGCTCCTACATCAGAGTATCAGAGTTTTCAGGAGTTCACACAGTCCCCATCACATCTGGACCAACATGAACTCCAACAACACCACTCACATACACACTAGTGTGAACGAACACTGTACACACAACAACACCACTCACATACACACTAGTGTGAACGAACACTGTACACACAACAACACCACTCACATACACACTAGTGTGAACGGGGCCTTATTTGTCGTTTAATCCCCAGTGAAAAGTGAAAGTCAAATCGTCTCTTTCACAGTAACTCTTCTGTTTACTTCCAAACTGACAGCAAAAGGAAAGTGTGACTGTGTGAGGTTGGCACACTGGCACATGGTCCCTGCCGCAGTGCCCATCATACCCCTCAGTGCCCCCCCCCTCCTCTCCCTCTGCTGTATGTTGGTGCGTGTGCTCGTGCCAGCTCTCTGCAGCACACGGGCATCGGTGCCACAACAGCTGCTGGGCAAACTAATCACATCCCCTCTGAGGCTCCTGCAGCGCTCCACCCCCCTCCCCTCCACCCTCTCATCCATCAGCTCCACCCCCCCATCCACCGCCTCCACCAGCTCCACCACCTCCACCACCTCCACTGCCTCTACCACCTCCACCCTCCTCCTGTCATCCACCAGCTCCATCCCTCCTTCCCTCATCCACCACCTCCACCAGCTCCACCCTCCTCTCCTTTCCTCATCCATCTCCACCAGCTCCATCATGTACAGTAGGACAAGGTGGAGACTCATATTCTTGACTCTAAGTTCATACAGAATAGTGAGGGGGTCAGGATTATTGACACATCTAGTTTGAACGGAGGTTTTCAGTCACACACATCTGATTCCCTTCTGCAGTTATGGAGTTCACAAACTTCCGAAGCCTGTTTCTCGAGCCGTTTCCACTGTTAGAACATCCAACAACCACACAACTACGAATGTCCGAATCCCAAAACTAAAATATGACAATATCAGAACCAGAAACAAAAGTGATATGGTTCAAAAGACTTGAAAAGATCGAGACACGTCCCACTGGGAAAACAAACATGGAGGTTTGACGATCACGTTTTCGGAGGAACCTTCCCAGTATGAAGGAGGAAGTCCAAGATTCAGGATGCATGTATTAAGTGTTTTCGTGGTCTTTTTTTTAAGGCAGAATTAATATTTATTCAGAATTAAATAGCTTTTATTCAGAATTCAAGCTCTGATGTAAACGTGGCGTCGCTGGTGCGTCGCTTTTGTTGGCCTGGATCCTCGCGCTCGCTGCGTCTGATCCGTGGCCTGTAGCGCTCACTCTGCACATCTGTTCCTCCTCACCTCCCATTGGCCGCTCCGAGGACCGGCCCCGCCCACTCTTGATATTATTATTACGGCTATTATCATTTTCATCACAATGCTCCGCTCTGTTTATTACCCTCCCCCTGTTTCCCCGTCTCCCGGTCCAAGGTTCTCCGATGCCAGGCGCTGGGATCGGCACAGGGCCGGGCGCCGTGCCAACCTGCCAGCCAGACCGGGGAGCTGCATTTGTCATTTCCCCCCCTTCCCTCGTTTATGGGAGAGGAGCACGACAGTTGCTGATTTGAATAAGAATTTCACTTTATTCCATAGGTTCTGTGCCAGATTCATATTTTCTCACAAAAGATCCTCCATTTGCATCTAATGAGGGAGAAGCAAACACGCGGCGCTCTGATGAGTAATTAGCTCGAATGTCGGCTTCACGGTTTTTCTTTTCATGATATGTTTTCAAAAATCACTGGACACTCGCAGAAGCAGCTCTACAGGAAATATGCTCACGATAAAACGTCCTATGTTCCTCCTGTGAGCTTTTAGAGCTTTTAGTCGTGTTCTAACGCTCTAACACGCCTGCTGTTCTGTTTTGTTTGTCACATGTTTGACTAACACTTTATTACCTTGTGATGTCATCAAGTGGAAGTTTTAAAGTTACAGCTATTTTAGCCTCAGGAGTGTAATAGTTAGGGCTGGGTGTGTCATTAAGAAGTTGCCGATACGATACATACCTCGATACAGTGAACTTTCGATTCGATACGGTTCAATAAAAAAACAAGTCTTTGAGTCTTTGTTAAACGGCTTTTTGTGCAAAGTTCATATGAAACACAAACATTTTACTCATTAAAACTGTGAATATGTCAGTTTTTTTTGCATGAACAAGTTTATTTTCTCTAAACAAGGAACAAAACTGTAACTGTAACAAAATAATTATGTATAATAAACCAAAAAAATACTGTTGGCGATATATCGATACAGCAGAACACGATATCGATACTGTATCATCACATTAAACAATACGATATATTGATATTTTGATATTTTTGCTCACCTCTAGTAATGGTTCATGTATTTGTGCCGAATCGTTTGTTACGGGGCGTTGGGTTCGGTGCAGGTCTGTGCACGAGTGAGTTTGTGCAGTTTGTGTGTGTTTACATTCGGTCACTACATGTGCAGCTCCACGGAGACTCGGCTCTTTAATGTTCACGAAGAACTCGTCTGTGATTGGCTCAGTGTTTCCCGCAGTGCTTTATAGTTAGAGCGACGCTTTCACAACAACTGTCCCCGACTTGACCACGTCCACGAACGATGAGAATCCTGCAAAACTACGGTTGTCACGTCCTCACTCTCTCCTTTCGCCGACGTCGTTGTGTCCTTGGGCAAGATACTTAACTCACCTCGCCCCCAGTGTCTGCATACACTGGTGTGTGTGTGTGTGTGTGTGTGAATGGGTGAGCGGTTCCTTGTTGTAAAGCTCTTTGAGTGCTACTACTTGTTTAGAAAAGACATTTAAGACATTTAGAGAAACTGAGAAAATATAAGCACCTTAGATGAGGTACAGTTGCCTTTAAAACATTTACACAATTATTATTTTTATTAATGTACAAAGATAGACATCAGATACATTTAATCAAATCAAATTTGAGTTATTCAGCTCAATACATTTGATTCAGAAATCCCTTGGCGAGCTGCTGGGAAGGGGGCGGAGAGCTACAGGTTGGAGACTCCTGCACTAGAGGAACCATATGTTGCCATTTTAAAAAAGTATTTTTGCTTTAAGTTCAGTTGAGATTCCCACAGAAAATCTGCCTGATCTTTTATTAGATTCTGTTACATTCACTGAGGAAACTGAGAGCAGATGAACCAGAGACACACTCGACCCATTTGTGTTGTGGCTTATGAGTTTAAAAAACTGCAAATGATGAAAAAAGAAAATTAAAACTAAAATTCAGGGCCATAGACTGTGTAAAGGAGCGGACTAACCCACAGTGTTCAGCTCCAGTCAAATGAAGCTCATCGAGGCCGATACAGGAGCGAATTTTGAGCAGAGTTTCATATTTGGAATAGGAATTTATGAATGCACAAAATGGCAAAATAAAAACCCAGGATCATGTAGAGCGGATGTTGATGTAGTCCACGCAGTAAGATCATTTTACTTGACAAATAAACGACCTCTGGAGCATCTCAGAATGAGCAAGTTGATAATAAATCTGAAAACGAGAGGAATAACCTGATATAAATTTTTAAAATCTTGGCCTGATCAGAGAACTATGCAGTGCACCCCCAGCGCAACGTCACCGCAAAGTGTCAATAAGACTAAAGAGTAATTACAGCCTCTTCTTTCACAGACTGACCCAAATGTTCTGAGATGTTCGGTGTTTGTGTTCCAGGGTCTTCTGTCTGAGATCCTTCGTAAAGAGGAGGACCCCAAACACGCGTCTCAGTCGCTCCTGGTGAACCTGCGCGCCATGTACAGCTTCCTCCAGCTCCCCGAGGCCGAGAGGGAACGCATCTACCACGAGGAGAAGGAACGCTGCCTGACCGCCGGCCCCGCCTGCTCCACGCCGCCCAGGAACAGCCAGGTGAGTGTGAGTCTACCCCCCCACATCACTGACTCTGTAGTGGACTTTACAGTGTCTCATTCACAGAGATTCAGACACTGCTGTGTGTGTCTGCACTGTCCTCACTGTCCTCACTGAGGTGTTCCCAGTTCCAGCTAAACTCTGATTCAATGAGGAGACGGTTGTTGGAGTTTTCAGATTTAATGCTCATCTTTATGAATCCAGAGTGAAACTGCAAGAGAAAATACAAAAGTACATTTGGCGATCTCTTAATAATTTCACATTCCAGTAAATGTGTATTGAGAGCTCAGTAACAGTTACAGCAGTTACAACGAACTGCCCATGAAAATACATTAAAATAAATACATGAATCAGTTTTTTTTTTATCATGAGCAGATTATCTGAGGATGCGTGAAACAAAGAAAATAACAGTTACCATAAAACAGCTGACTAATTTAAATAATAACATCTTTTTAACTTAGTTTTGTTTTTTAAAGTAATTTATACACCCATACAATTACCCAAATGTAATGTACAAACATATACACACGGCGTTGCTTCTATAGGAGTTGCACTAAGTTTGATTTTTAGAGATATGAGTTCATTTTGTTGCCTCTTGTTGCCAGCTTGCGTTCTCATGTCTCTCTCGTATTTTCAAACTTCCGGTTCCACTGACTGGTGTGGAGGACCAAAAGAACGGATTTCAAAATAAACTATATGCATTAAAAGGAAATACGGTCTGAAAGACAGAACAGTGTCCTCAGGGGACAGTGTGGACATTGTGACACAGCCCTCGTCACCGTGAACCAAGAACAGCCAAGTCCAGGAACCAGGAACTGCTGTTGTGAAGGATTCAAAAACTGTGTTGTGTTATGATAGTTATACAGTAACTTTCAGATTATTCTACAGTAGTTTGTTCTATCTGTTCCGCTGTGTGTGATTGAACTTTTCTATTTTGCAGTGCCTCTTTAAGCCGGGCGTACTGTACACTGTGCGACTTTTGACCCTTTTTGAGCCGATTTTTCGCTTGTGTGACTGTTTTGGGGATGGGGCCGAGTTTTGGCTTCATCGTGTGTCGTGCTTCGTGTAGTTTACATGGGGTAAAGAGAACCGATTAATGCCTCACGACCAGCTCCCGATCGGCATTCGTAGGTCGCAAGAAAATCAAACTTGTTTGAAATCCAATCGCCTACGTACAGTGTGCACAGGCAGGTCGCATCCGAGCATCGGTTCGTACAGTGTGAGAACTTTTCAGCCCTGTGATTTGGTCGTACAGTGTAAGCTGGGGCTGAGTGACACAACCGAAAATATTGCACAGTGTACACACGACATTAGTAAAAGTGAACAGACTCTTCACATCTGACGTTCAGTTTATTCTTTATTTAACCAGGTCCCACTGAGATTTGAAATCTCATTTTCAGTTCTGGCCCCAGGGACAAATCTCCTGCACATGATGTTGGTGAAAGAACCTCCACAGACACAGGGAGAACATGCAAACTCCACACAGAGTCAAAACCCACGACCTTCTCACTGTGAGGCCAGGGTGCTAAAAACTATTCCAGACAAAGTAATAACACCAAAAATGTGTTTAATCAAAGATTTTAAATCACGCACAACGTTTTCAGCACAAATCCGGCGAAATAGACTTGAAGACGGAAGTGCAGCGATGTCGGGCAAACGTGTGATGGGGCAGATTTATGAAGCTGCTGGAGAATATGACACACGTTTACACACACAGACACACACATTTACCATATTTTCCTCACCATTGGTCGAGCTCTTAAGCCTCCAACCCCATCAAATATGACCGCGCCCCACAATCCAGATACACGAATCCACTCAGGTGTCCCAGCACGACTTCAGTAAACTACAAAGCCGCAAACACACACGGAGCAGACAGCGACCGCACAGCGAAACACACCCACAGACACACTCATCACTCCACGCCGACGAGGAACGGAACGGAGGAACGAACCGAAAAAGCGACGAGCGCGACGTGCCGCTTCTAGACACGACTGAACAACTGAGTCACTGCGAACACGCCGACAATCCGTTGGTCCCAGACAGCACCCTCCCTACACGCCACAACTGAACAAAGCCCAGAGTCACCGTGAACGCCACAAACAAACAAAACCACTCACCCATCACACTGTTGGGTTTCATTTAAAGTCCCACGCCGTTTATTTGTGAAAAAAGTTCGAAAATAGACCATTTAATGACAGTGCGCCGCATAATCCAGAGCGACTAACAGCCCGGAAAATACGGCACACACATATTTACACACACATTTTGACACAGAAAAGCATTAACCGAACGCGACGTTTACTCGACATCGTGACACTTCCGTCCGTTGTGAAAAAATCTCTAGAGCTGAATTTGAATCCACAGACTCCACAGTAAGAGCGTGTCCCTGAGTGGAGCGGCTCAGATCTCAGATAGGCGCTCACATGTGCTCTGATACTTCCTGTCCCGCCCGTGTTTGGGCCCGGCTCGCCTCTTTTGTCCTCGTTTGTTTATCGGAGGTATTAAGTGTCTGTGGCGCTCGCGGCCTCGCTGCAGCTGCCCTGATAAGAGTCTCGCTCTATCTCTGTGTTCTATCAGTGCAGATGGACTGAACAATGGGCCTGTGTGTTGTAGGCGCGTCTCTCTCCGGGGGCCCCAGATCGGGGTGTCAGGGCGGACCCCGGGCTCCTCTCCGTCTCCTCCTCCACCTCCTCCATCACCTCCTCCATCTACGAGCAGATCCAGCACGAGATGAGGAGGGCCAAGGTCTCCCAGGCTCTGTTCGCTAAAGTGGCAGCCTCCAAAAGCCAGGTACCTCCTCCTCCTCCTCCTCTTCCTCTCTGAGTCTAGGACAACTCACTGCGTTCACATGCACAGAGAATTACAAAAGTGTCCAGCAGTTCAAACATGCAAATAGGCGTGAATCACAGTTTGGAACATGGGGGCTCTTCTGGCTCTAATCCACTTTGTATTGAAAAAGCGTCACCCCGCTGTCTGTCTCTGCTGCTGTGAGCCTTTTGGTCGAAGCCCCAATTTACACCAAAGCAATTAACAGCGCAGCGTCACACGAGCGTCACACGAGCGTCACACGAGCGTCACACGAGCACACGAGCGTCACACGAGCGTCACACGAGCGTCACACGAAGCACACGAGCGGCACACGAGCGGCACACGAGCGGCCCACGAGCGGCCCACGAGCGGCCCACGAGCGGCCCACGAGCGGCCCACGAGCGGCACGAGCGGCACACGAGCGGCACATGAAGCACATGAGCGGCACACGAAGCACACGAAGCACACAAAGCACACGGGCGGCACATGAGCGTCACACGAGCGGCACACGAGCGGCACACGAGCGGCACACGAGCGGCACACGAGCGGCACACGAGCGGCACACGAGCGGCACACGAAGCACACGAAGCACACGAAGCACACGAGCGGCACACGAAGCACACGAAGCACACGAAGCACACGAGCACACGAGCGGCACACGGGCGGCACATGAGCGGCACACGAAGCGGCACACGGGCGGCACACGAAGCACACGAGCGGCACACGAAGCGGCACACGGGCGGCACACGAGCGGCACACGAGCGGCACACGAGCGGCACATGAAGCACACGGGCGGCACACGAACACTTAGTTTGTTCACGTGGAGTGGGTCAAAATACCTGTTGACCAGTACAAAAGTCTCACTGACAGTTACAGAAATCGTTTGTTTGCAGAGTTTTCCTCAGTAGTTTGTGCAACAAAATATTAAGTTAACGGAAGCATCATTTTTGTCCAGGCCAGTTTCATTATTTTGTTTTTTCTAATGATTCTGTTGAACCACAGGTGAAAAACAATGTTTGATTTTTGTTGGACAATTTTCAGTAAATTTTTCTTTATTATTGCTTTAATCAGTTTCAAGTTATTTCAGTGACCATTGTTGATTTATTTATTTTTTTCATTGCCAGAGGGAACCAACAATTTTGTCCATGTCTGTATGTCCCTGTGTCTCTCTCTGTTTTTCCGTCTGTTTCTGTTTCCTTCCTGCAGAACCCTCGTGCACACTTCTTGTTCTCTCGTGACGCTTCTGTTTAAGCTTGTTAGTGCCTTTTGTTTTGAGGATCATTTGTTTCTGTGGAGAGAGAAAGACACAGAGAGAGGGTTTAACAGCTTTTCTCCTCCTCCTCCTCTTTCTTTCTTTCTTTATCTCTTTATTGCTGCATTTTTCTTTCGTTTGTGTTTTGTCGCTTCCGTACGCAGCCGCTCTACCTGAAGTCTGAGGAAATCTGATGCATCGGAGACACAGATTAGATCAGTTTCAACAAAACGCGAAGAGAACGAGAGCAAAAAATATATAATATTGTCTTTTATGCAGGAGTTTGTTTCTTATAAGAACTGTGATGGAAAGTGAAAGCGCCTCATAGTTTTTAGTTTAAGCGCCTCATATTACGCCAGTTTCTGATCTGTGTTTTAGTGTCGTGTCGTTTCTTCATCACAAACAGAGCGGGAGTTGTGTTTTGTTTCATTCACACATGTTTAACTCTTTATTATTGGTCTGTTTACATCTCCAAAGCTCAAAACGCTCGGTTACACTTTGTGATGTTCATTTCTGGAGCATTTCCTGCACAAAAAAAATAAAAAAAGGTCGCTGGATTTGCGTGAATAAAATCTGAAAAGCGGTTTCATGCAGTAAAATTATGATTCGGCTTTGACACTTATTTCAATCCCTTCTACGTGTATTTTTCTCAGCACACGAACGTCACTTTTTCATTCCGAATCACAGATTTATCTCATGTCACATTATCATGAATATTTGCCTTTTTAATTTTTTCTGTGTAATTTAATTGAGTTTATACAGTGAGTGTGTTTACAGCACATCAATGTCCCGGGTGTGAGCGGGTTTTTGGAGTGTCCCAGTTTCGTCATGGTGCATGTAAACACAGTATCCCGGTGTCAGTGTCCCAGTTATGAGAGACCGGGACACTGTAGCTGGGATATTCTGATAGTAACTGAGATACTGTGACATGTAAACGCACCATCCCAAATACTGCGGCATAAAGATGAGTCACATGCGTCCAAAAGACAAAACACTCCGCAGTCTTTTCATCACAACAGAAGCAAAATAAATAAAGTGACCGACATAAATAAAGTGAAATGATGTTAAGTAAAGAGAAAACCTGCACACGTCTGATCTCTGAAAACATGAACCATCTCCAACGCGACACACACACAGAACACACTCACCGTCACACTCACCATCACCATCATCATCATCATCATCATCATCATCACTCATATTCCACTGAGTCGTGTCCTTTAGTCCGACAGAAACTGAACCACATCAGCGACACAAGGAAAGAACTGTTTTTATCAGCGCTTATAGTTTATGTAAACGAGTCTTGTGGTTTTAAGTTTGGTTTCTGTAAAACACAAGGCAAGTTTATTTGTACAGCACAATCCGTACACAAAGTAATTCAAAGTGCTTTACAGAATAAGAAATACATTAAAATCATAATAAAAACATAACATAAACAAAACATAAATAATCATGAAGATTAAAATTAAAAAAGAGAGACATAAATTGGAGAGAAGAGTGCGGAATGAAAACCTTTCAGTTATTTGCACAGTTAAACAGAAATGTTTTGAGTCTGGATTTAAACAGCGTCACAGAAGAGTCTGTCTCACATGTTCAGACTGTTCCAGGTTTTAGCTGCATGAACCTGAAACTCTAACTCCCCTTGTTTAGTCGTGACTCTGGGCACCAGCAGGTGTCAAACACACAGGTGTCAAACATAAGGCCCAGAGGCCGGATCCGGCCCTCCAAGACCTTTAATCTGGCCCTCGGCTGATTTTCTACTAAAATATTTTAATTACATTTTCTATTAAATATTGGTAATTTTCTGTTCCGCTTAGCATAGCAGTAAATGGTAAATGGTCACATTTTTCTATAGCGCTTTTCCACCTTCAAGGCACTTAAAGCGCTTTGTCTCCCATGTCTCTGTACGTGGCCCCTCCCACCAGAGCAGCACAAATGAAGACTTGTCTCTTTCCAAACGCTCTTAAAGGACGATCGTTTTGACTGTTGACCGTGACACCCTCATCAGAAAAATGTCCAACATGAGAAAAGTGGAGCCGAGTGCAGGATTTTACAACAAAAATTGGACTTATTCCTATTTGCAAACAAGTTCATGTTAAAACATTGTGTTGAAATAGCTTTTTTTTTCATATTATAATATTTTGTAAAAGAAAGAATTCATCAATTAGAAAAAGATTTCTGTAATAGATTTGTGTTTCTCTGCACAAATATTTTAACTTATTGCTGTTTTTGGGGTTTATATGACATGAGTTTTCTGATCCGGCCCCTTTAGGATCAAAGTAGGCTGGATACGACCCCTGAACCAAAATGAGTTTGACACTCCTGCTGTAAAACATAAACAAAAGTGTCAAAGCTGCATTAAAAACGTTATAATGTCAAACGGGCTGATGTGGCCTCTAGAGTGTTTATGTTTATATGTTGTAAAGTTGAGTTTATTTATGCAGGAGATTTAAATGAAGAATCTGCTGCAGTAGAACTTGTACAATCGTGTTTGGAAACGTTGGGTTTGATCAGTGGATTGTAGCTCCTCACTGCTGGTTAGTGTCCTGATTCATCACACGGTTTTACTTCGTTTCACTTCGTACAAACCGTGTGATCTGCAGCATTAGGATTCCTTCGCTCGACAGTAGACGGGGAGTTTTTTTATTGAACCAGTCGCTGCTGTTTGGTCGTGACGTTTGTAATGCTCCGAATCCTGTAGGAAGAAGAACAATAACGTCTTTCCCTGAGATAAAATTGATCAAACATTCTCTTTGTTTCAGCTTTAAATCCTCGATCTCGAGAATCGTTGACAACATAGAATGTCTGTCTCTTCTGTGATTGGCTGGTGCGTAAAATCACACTTCCGGGGTTTTTGTGAATCGTCTAGTGTTTCCTGATTCCTGATCTAGTCTCTGGAGAGAAATTTAATTAAGCGAAGGCACTAGGTGGCGTCAGCCTGTCCAGCTGGTTAAAACCTTCTGAGCTTCCTGCACTAAAGGAGCAGCTCATGGTTGTTTGTATTTGTCCTGGTTTGTTAAATATTATTTTTGTGCTCGCAAAAAAAGATGAAAACTTAGAGGAGAACAAAGATGACACATTATTGACACTGAAAAAACTAACATTATGTTCATGAATAAAACAGAAGGAACTTGTTCACTCAGACTGATTCTAGAATTAAATAAAAAATCAATTTCAGGATGTAGATATTTACACACTAGAGATTTGTGTTGTTTAAATGTTACAGATGTACATGTCGAGCTTTAAACTGTACAAATCTGTCTATACTAATATCAACATCCTGAAATTGATTTTTTATTTGAATTGTAGAATCAGTCTGAGTTTGGTTCAGTAGTTCACTGATGCTCGTCCAGGTTTCTCAGAACTTTTTCCTCCGGTGAGTTTCCTGCACAGACCTGCTCATTTAATGATCACAAGAAACTGAGTGTTTCAGAGAGTCACGGCTTCAGACGAGTACAGTTAAATTCTTAAAAAAACATAAACCATTTATTAGTGCACAAAGTTAAGCATCAAAATTACACATTTATAACAGTGAGTCATTTAATTAACCAAAACTTTGTTATTCAGTCCAGTGTTTTTGTGATTAAAATAAATGAGTGTTACAAATGTTTTCAGTAAAATCGTTTCTCCTCTTTTCTTCTCGAACGCTGTGACATCTCTCTCTCCTCCTCCACGATCTTATCTCTTTTCTCCCTCCTTCCACTTGACCTTTTCTCTCTCTCTGTGTCTATCTCTCTATCGCCCTCTTTTCTCATCTCCCCACCCTCATCTCTCTCTCTCTTCCTTTTGTTCAACCTCCTTATTCTCCTCCACATGTTCCTCGTTTAATTCTCTCGTCTTTCTCATCCTGCCCCTCACTTGTTCTCTTATTTCTATTCCATCCTTTCTCTTGTGCTGTCTATCTATTTATCTGTCTTTCTCTCAATCTCTCCATCTCTGTATCATATTGTCTCTCCTCACATTTCTCCATCCTTCTTCTCTACCACGGTTACACCTCCCTGTTCTCCTCCTCTACCATATTTTCTCTCCCTCCTCCCCTTCCCCCTCACTCTCCTCCCTCTTTCCTCTCTCCCTCCCTCTCTCTTCCTCCTCTTTCTCTCTCTCTCTCGTGCACACTGGCTGTTTGGCAGATGCACTATCAGTAGTTCTCAGTGTTTTTTTGTGTGTGTACGTTTCTGTGTGTATCTGTATGTGTGTGTGTGTGTGTGTGTGTGTGTGTGTGTGTATGTGTGTGTGTGTGCGTCGCTGTGTGCGTTTGTGTGCGTTTGTGTTATCTCCCTGGTGCATCTGGATGGTTTTGTGTTGCTCTTGGGACAGATCCAAATCCTCCAGAATCGGCTCCACGGAGACGAGCTGCAGTGTTAAAGCTGCACTGTGGAACTTTTCATTTAGGGTCCGTCACCTGCTCGTTTCTACGGACCTGTGTCTCCAGAGCTTCAGCTGCAGAGAGACAGAGACACACAGAGACAGAGACACACAGACAGAGACACACAGAGACACACAGAGACACACAGACAGAGACACACAGAGACAGAGACACACAGACAGAGACACACAGAGACAGAGACACACAGAGACACACAGAGACACACAGACAGAGACACACAGAGACACACAGAGACACAGACAGAGACAGAGACACACAGAGACAGAGACACACAGAGACAGAGACACAGAGACACACAGACAGAGACACACACAGAGACACACAGACAGACACAGACAGAGACACAGAGACAGAGACACACAGAGACACACAGACACACAGACAGAGACACACAGAGACAGAGAGACACACAGAGACAGAGACACACAGACAGACACAGACAGAGACACAGACACACAGAGACAGAGACACACAGACAGAGAGACACACAGAGAGACAGAGACACAGACAGAGACACACGAGACAGAGACACACAGAGACACACAGAGACACAGACACAGAGACACACAGAGACACAGAGACACACAGAGACACACAGAGACACAGACAGAGACACACAGAGACAGAGAACAGACAGAGACACAGACAGAGACACAAGACAGAGACACACAGAGACACAGACAGAGACACACAGAGACACAGACAGAGACACACAGAGACACAGACACAGAGACACAGACACATAGAGACACAGACAGAGACACACAGAGACACAGAGACACAGACACAGAGACACACAGACACAGAGACACAGACACACATAGAGACACAGACAGAGACACACACAGAGACACACAGAGACACAGAGACACAGAGACACACACACAGAGACACAGACAGAGACACAGACAGAGACACAGAGACACAGACACAGAGACACAGACAGAGACACACAGAGACACACAGAGACACAGAGACACAGAGACACAGACAGAGACACACAGAGACACAGACAGAGACACACAGAGACGGAGACACAGAGACACAGACAGAGACACAGAGACACAGACACAGAGACATGTCCTGCATTTGTCTCTTTACTCTCAGTTTATGTCCAGGCCTCATGTGAAGCTCAGAACCTCCAGAGTTCCCTCTCACTCGCTCCCACAAAGAATTGTAATTTTCATTCTCGCTCTCGCCCGCATCTGCAATATTTTGTCCCACTTCCGCCCGCAAATCCTTCAGGATGGAAGACGTTCACTTTCTTAACCTCTATCAAACATGGAGAAGCAGAAAGGAATTGTCTATAAAATGTGTGTGAGATTAGAGCACGTCCGCAAGTTTAACCTGCGTAAAATGTTTTGATTAAATGCCAAATAAAATCTCCAGCACAAAAGATGCATGAGACAATCGTTTGTGTATTTTACTTCACACTAGGGTTGTCCTGATCTGATCACATGATTGGAATTCAGAGCTGATCACGTAACTGTGGACTCGATCCGGACTCGGATGTTATGTTCTGATCAGGTATCGGATAAATAATATACGTATATAACACACAGGACACACAGGTTTGTTTTCCAGCACTCAGACGCTGGGACTGTCTAGACTGGGACTGAGACTGTGCTGTACTAGAGGAGCACTTACACTGGGACTGGGCGCTGTACCTGCTCCTCTGTAGGCGGCGCTGTGGGTTTGTGGATGTGGTGGTGGTGCAGAGGAGCGAGGGCGGCCGGGGGAGAGAGTCGCGGTGCTTATCGGGGTTGAGCATGAATATAACAACTACAGTCTTAAACTCTAGTCTTACTGCAGGTGAATATTGTATTGAACTAAATATATATATATATATATATATATATATATATATATATATATATATATGCACATGATGATTGACAGGACATTCAAAAGCATTTCCTGTTGGGGCTGACGTGAGCTGTTCTTGTGCTCTTGGGCAGGGCTGGCTGTGTGAGCTGCTGCACTGGAAGGAGGAGCCCAGTCCGGAGAACAGGACCCTGTGGGAGAATCTGTGCACCATCCGCCACTTCCTGAGCCTGCCCCAGGGCGAGCGTGACTCCCTGTACGAGCAGGAGAGCAGCGGGCAGGGCTACGGCGACCAGAGGAGCTTCAGTGAGAGGCTCGCCGACAGGACTCTGGTGAGGACGGAACAACAGGGTTTATAAAGTTTATAATGTTCATGTGATTCTGGTCTCCAGTGACCCGACTTTTACCATCAGAGGAGACATGACAGTTTTATTTTACGTGTTTAATAAGACAGAAGCTGAACACTGCTCCTTACAGATAATAAAAAACAAATCAAACTTTAATCCAAACATTATAACATGGTAGAAAGCTCCAAAAAGTCCATTGCTACTGAACTGTGCAGCATTAACTATGATCCCAGTCAGGTTGTGACCATTTTAGTGCAAACAAATAAGAAAACTGTGTGTGTGCTGCCTCCAGTGGCCACTGCAGTTACTTGTAGTTGGTGACATCACACAGCACTGTCCTGATCACAAACAGGTGTGTCTCATACACACACCTGTCTGCAGGGGCGGAGTTTGAAGTGTGGAAACCTTTAACTTCTTGGGTTCTTTCTAAAGACAAAACAGTGAAGTGTTTTTACCTTGTTGACATGTTTCTGCTGCTGCTGCATCTTCAGAACTGTCCCTGGTGTTGGTGGTGACGTCTCATGTAACTGTTGTTTTTACTTCCTGTGGGCGTGGTCAGCTGTTGTTACTTCCTGTGGGCGTGGTCAGCTGTTGTTACTTCCTGTGGGCGTGGTCAGCTGTTGTTACTTCCTGTGGGCGTGGTCAGACCTGATGGACCTGCAGGTTGCTCAGACTGACCACGGCTCCAGTCGCCCGGTGTTCTCTGGAGGAGGGCGTCCCAGGTGTGTGAAAGGAGGAAGGCTCTGAGTGTCTGTGCCTCGTTTCCTGATTTCCCCGTCCTCCCTGATCCAGAGTTTGGACTTGTTGTTTTCTGATGCCAGTGACTTGAGCCCCGTCCTGATCCAGAATGTAGTTCTTTATTTTTACAGTGTCTGATGTGGCAGGTTTTAGGTTTTCCTGTTCTGCTTTGTCTTTTTGTGTTCTGGTGAGTCTGGGGCTCGAGATAAACAGAGTTTTAGGAGCTGACGCCAAAAGTGCGACCAGTGTTTCCCTTTTGCTCTGATGATGATGATGATGATGATGATGATGATGAGGATGAAGCATTCAGAGAGTCGCATTTCTTCTGCTGAAACACTTTTCATGTGTTTAATTTGTACAGCTAATGGATCATATCTATGACCAGAGACCAATGAGGCTTTAACAGATCTGTGGAGAGGCGAGCCGCTCACTAATGCACCATTTTAAACATATTTCTGAGTAAAACTTACAACTGTAAAAAGCTACAGGTTTGAATCTGATCTTGGTGTAGTTCTAACGGCGCTCGATGGAGGATTTATGCAGGTCGTTGTAAACGAAAACTTTTTGGAAAACGATGCTGTGAGCACGATGTTATTTTGGAAAACGTGGAGGGAGGGAAATATTTGTTTCTTAACAAACGCAGCTCTGGGTAAATATAGCCTTAGCCTTAGTCCCACGTTAAGTTCAACAGAACGTGAAGTTTCTCTGTAAAAGTGCCAGAGCACAGCCTCATTACTCTTTATACTCTTTATACACTGTTCTTGCACATACAGTGGACTGTCTCTGATAAATCACTTGGGTTCACATCATTTGGATTCAGATCTGCAGTAAAACACTGAATCATTAGACTAACAGCAGCTAAATGCCACAGACGACAGGGACATGATAATGGCCACATTAGTCGTCCGTAAATGTATTCATCAGAATCATTTCAGGTTCAGATATTCCAGATACACACCTCCTGTTTCCTCTCACATGACGGACAGCTGGGACAGAAGCACTTGGCTGTTAGAGCACAGAAAATGAGTTCAGAAAATTAGGTTTTCAAAGTTATAAAATATCTAAAATGGTCTTTCATCTTTCAATTGATCTAAGAAAGTAAAAAAAAAGAACAATAGAGAACTGAAGCCGAGGAGAAAATCTGCAGCAGCTGGAGTGTCTGAAGGTCTGTTTCAAACACTTTGAAGACGGGATATTATGATAAATAGACTTTTAGGAGCTTCCTACCATGTTTTAATGTTGTTCCCTCATCAAAAACAGGCCTGTACGGGATTTGCTAGTAGAAGTAATCTTACAATCTCCTCGTGCACAACTCAAACCCTCCTTACGGTTAGCAGTACGAGGCTCCGCCCACAAGCCTACGTCCCCCACACGACAATTCTCCATAAATCTACAAAAACATGACACAAAACTGGACACAGCAACTGGACAAACCTGATGTGACGTATCATCCATCCTCCTTTTCAAACCGTACGTGTCTGTGCTGTTCTGTTGTTGTATGAATCATTTGTGCAGGTTTGAAATAAAGTAAATTGTGTTTGGATGACACTCTGGAGGGGGAGTGACTTAGCGTGGAGAGCAAAGGGAGGTGAGTCTCAGAGCATCAAAAACAAAAATGAAAACAATTACTGTATTTTCTGGACTAAGTCGCACCGGCCAAAAAAGCGTAATGAAGAAGAAGAAGGAAAAAAACATAAGTCGCACTTTTTGGGGGAAATTTATTTTATAAACTCAGAGAGCAGGAGCCGACATTTCCTGTGTAAAGTCAAGTTGTAGTAAAAACAATAGAAGAGAGAACAACAGACTGTTAACGTCACATATGAACAGTTCTTCAGATAAACTATAACATAAACAACAGAACAAGTTTAACCAAACTCTCCATCTCACTCCAAATCAATAAATCCATTCAGTTCTTCATCCTTGGTGTCACTTCTGAACAACTCGGCCTCGACCTCCGGAGGTAAACAGAGCGACGCAAACTCTTCTGTGTCGCTGTCATCAGACTCAGCATCAGTTCCAGTTAGAATTATTCGGGTCTTTCTGAATCCCGACAGGATGGTTTTCGGTGTCACTGAAGTCCAGACTTTGTCCATCCATCCAGTGACTTCAGGAAAGTTTCATGGTGCATCCTCCCGGTGTCACAAGTTTCTCTCTCACTCCAAACTTTCTTTTTGCTGCTCGATTTCCGTTTTCAGCTGCAAATTTCACAACTTGCAGTTTGTAATCTGCAGAATCTGATTTTGTTTTTGGGGGCATTTGTGTTCAGTCTTCTTAGTCTTTGTCTTTGTAAGTTTGTTTAAATGTTAAATTGTTCAGTGGTGCAGAACAGGACAGAGGCTCTTTCTGCAGGAGACATGTGCAGTAGAGCCAAGTGACAGTGGTACTGGAGGAACAGGAGCAGCAGATACTCACACACAAGACTAGAGCGCCCTCTTGTGGTTGTCAGTGTGAAAACTTTAATATACAAGTTGCACTGGACTGTAAGTCACAGGAAACACCCAAACCATGAAAAAAGTGACACTTATAGTCAGAAAAATATGGAAATAAAAAAAAAACATTTGTCCATTTGACGGAATTCAACTTTCTTTTGTTCATATTTGTTTAGTTTTGTTTCTGTTTTGTGTTTTTGTGTTTGCAGTACCAGCGCATGTCTCCACTGTCACAGCACCTGCCGCACCCTGAGAGCCGCCCTCACCTGTCGCCAGGGCAGCCACAGGAAGCATCACCCACTGACCGCAGGACCCAAGGCAGCTGGGGCACCCAAGGGAGAGCCCGGGTGCCCAGCAGAGAGGGTGAGGAGAGGACTAATGGCCTGGGACTGGTCAGCGAGGGTCAGACCTGTTCTGAGTTTGAGAGAAAGGACTGCAGGTTTCAGGAGCGCTGCCGAGAGACGGAGGAGAAACCCAGCGTGGAGAGCAAGGTGGAGGTGCAGGCGCAGATCCAGGCCGGGTGCTTGAAGGTGTCCACCGAGGCCCTGGCCATCCTCCAGAGCTTCATCCAGGAGGTGGGACTGCCCCCGGATGAGGAGGCGGTGTGCACCCTGTCCGCTCAGCTCGGCCTTCCCCAGCACGCCATCTGCAGCTTCTTCAACAGCCAGAACTCGCACGCAACAGAGAGGGGCCCAAGACGGAGCCCTGAGGGACGCCCGCCCGAAACGGTGGACTCGAGACTGTCTCATCCGCAGAAGACCGAGAGAGAGGACTTTAAAGTGTCCCACCTGGAGAGAGGGACAGAGGGGGAGGAGTCTGGAGCGGTGATGGAGATGGAGGTGGGGACTCAGACCGGTTTTGTCCTGAAAGAGGAGCGGACGGATTACACCCCGGACCTGGACAGCTCCGAGTATATATGATCAGGTTTAGTCTTTTACATGTGTCTTGTCATTCGTTGTTGTTTTTAGGGGAATTTAAAAGGGTGAGATGAGTAAATTGTTGATTTAGAACGCACAGAAGAATCAACCGTAGTAGCTTGAGCTCATGGGAACTAATCACGGTTACCGGAAGACGTTTGGAAACATGCGGATGACGACTTCCGGTGTAGTTCCCTCTGCAGGGCTTTTTTTTTTTTTTTTGGTATGATCAGATTTTTTTGCGAGGTCATTCACATTTCCAATTAAAAAGCACTGAGAGCGAGACCTCTGCCAAGGACTATTCATATTAATTGTGTTTTCCATAAATTTTGTCTCATATCTTTCAATTTGTATGAAAGAGGATGTCCATCCCTGAGTCAAATTTCATGGGTTTGGTCAAATTAACAGATGAGAAACAAAATTTTTGGCCCCATTTACCACAATGTTAACTAAAATTTCAAAGTGATCCAGAATCCAGGATTTCTTCCGGATCACCCCAAAATGAAATCACTTCCTTTTCAATAACAAATCCTGAAAATTTCATCAAAATCGTCCATAACTTTTGAGTAGTTGCAAGAGACATATATAATTAAATGTGACTTGTATGTGATCTCCAGTGTGAACTTTAAACACCCCAAAAGCGTCCTGTAGCAAATACGCTGCACAGAATGATAATAAATAAGATAAGAGTACTGTCTAAGTATTAAGGGACCCGTATTAAACTTTATACCAGAAGACTAGAGACTAGTGTAGGGGTGGGCAAACTTTTTGGCTCAGGGACAACATAGGGTTCTAATATTTGAGGGACGGGCTGGACCAGGAGCAGATGGATGGAGTGGAGAGAAGAAAATTACATGAGATATGTAGAAAACCTGAGCTTGAATTTCAATTGAAAGTCACTACAAAACATCACAACAAAATATCTGTCTTTCTAAAACACTGAAAATTAAATTAATAAAAAATACTTTTTTTTTTTTTTTTTTTTTATTACTAACAGTTACTTTCAAAAGCACTGAAAGTTGTGTTCTCCTTCAGGATATTATCATCATCATCCTGACTCTTTATTTCAAAAAACTGTAGAAGATGCAGATCTACTTCTGTTCAATGTGCATCTCCAAAACTCAACAACGACCGACACAAGGACAGAACTGTGTCAGTGTGTCAGTCTGCGAGCGACGAGTTATGTTTGATCTGGTGCATTGTTCATAATGAGTGTGTTTACATTCACATCAGTGTCTTGGTTACGATCGGGTTTTTTGAGTCATGGTGCATGTAAACGCACTAACCCGGTTACAAGAATGTAAAGTTGAGTGCGAATGCCCCCAAAAGATGAAATACTTCTGAAATACTTTCCGGGCGCCATCTAGTTGTGGCCGTCACCGTACGTTCTTCAGCCTACCTCCCTACACCAACATTTCAACTAACTAAAAGGCACAGTTGCATCACTCTCCAGTACGAGCCTAGACCCAACAAAATCTTTCCTCTATAACTCTTTCTGCTCCGTAGTATGTTAAGATGCTCTATGCATGAAAACGTCGTAATATGCAGTTCTTGAGTCTTTCAACTTTACTTTCACACTATTCAGAATGGAAACAGTGCAGTGTTATGTCCTGAACTCTTCTGCCTCACTCATGGTCCGAATACACCGACTGAAAATGACTCCTGTCACTATAGTCCCAAAGAACACTTTCCCATAAAGTACTGCGGCCAACATAATACGCCGCACCTCAATGTATATACAGTGCGCCGTCTACTGGGAAACACAGGAAAAATAAAACAGTAACAAGGTTTATTACTATAATTTATTCAAGTTTGGCTGGCCGGACTAAAAGGTTTTAAAGGGCCACATACGGCCCCCGGGTCGTAGTTTGCCCTGGACTAGAGACTCTGGAGCGGGTGTGGGTGAGGAAGTCAGCGGCAGAGGTCTGGATGTATTGCAGTTTTTGGAGGTGGGTGGAGGGGAGAGCGTACAGGAGGAGGAAGTTTGAGGAAGTTGTGCTCCATCCAGGTTTTAATGTCTGACAGGCAGTTTGTAAAGGTGGAGAGAATGACTGGGAAGATTTAGACCTGAGTGTCACCAAAACCGGGCCGTTATCTCCGGTTATTTTCCCAGATTTTATCAGTTTTGTCGCCAACAGAACTCACCGGAAGTCGTCATCTGCATGTTTCCAAATGTCTTCTGGTTTTGTGACGCAATAGAGCCCATTGTACTAATGACTTGTGCTGCTGATTGATTAGTCGACAGAAACTCTCAAAACTATCACGTGTAGGGATGGGTGACATATCGGTATCAGTTCATATTGATCGTCCATACCGATATTTTTGTCCTGCTTTGAACAGACTAATGAGTCAAAATGGAAACAGAACAAATATGGCTGTTTTTTTTTTTTTTTGTTAGTTTTTTTATACACAAAGTTGTAACTAATTCTTTTATATCCCTTTAAAGGGCCCATCTCATGGAAAATGAACTTTTCAGAGCTTTCTATCTTCTAAGAGTGATGTGTGGGCCTTGTATTTGTCACTGAAGTGGTTTTTAGATTGATTCGTTTTTTGTTTTTTTTTTACAAATTGCAGAGTATTTTTGCCACCCTCCCACGTGACAACGAACTAAAGCTGCTACAACAATGACGCGGCAGATACACCTATGACGCATTTGACGTAGCAGAAAACGCTTCACACCCGCTCCATCTTATCTACTAGTGTTTATTAACACTTTACCAATCAGTAATGTTCAGCTGATGTGGACGCGGTGCTTGAGCTTCGTGCTCCTCAAAGTCCTCGTCTGATTCCGGGTCCAACACATGCGGCTGAACGCGCTGTATCTCCGTGATGAATAAAAGTTTATTCCTGCCTCTATCAGGGTCACGTTTGTCTCCCCCTCCCTCCCTGAGATGGCGGAGGAAGGGCGGCTCACTCAGAGCCTACGTCACGTTTGGACGGCGGAGCCTGTGCTTTCTCAGGACGGGCGGGGGGAAGAGCAATAGTCGGACTTTCATAGTTCCTGGTCTGTGACTGTCTCCAAGAAATCAGGAAGATTTCAGAACTATTGTGTAATGGATGTTCCAAAACCCAAATTGTGCAGTTTATGTGCAGAAGACACAATGTGAAAAGAATTATTTTGTATGAGATGGGCCCTTTAATATTATTTTTTACAAACGTGAACAGTTAAGACAAAAGTAGACCTTCCGATGGATTTTAAACGGTCACTGCAATAGAACAAAAATATCGGATATCGGTTCATCTCTGTCTCTGTATCTGACCCAAACTGCACTCACCCTCTACACCTGCAGGGGGAGCTCATGCAAAAACAACTATTAGTGCTTAAAAAAAGTGTCAGGAAACAGTGCATTTATATAAAGACAGATTAACTGTGTGAATTAATCAGACGTTTTACAGATAAACACCAGAAAATACCAAATCCTCAGCTCATTCACTTCACTATTGAGACTTTCCAAATGATCTACGTCCGTCTGAGTCGCGCTGTGCCTGATTTTTATGTTTTTTAAAAACGTGAAAAACGAAACAAATTCTTTTAAAACAGTTTTCAGTGATCCAAAGTTCGTCCTCACTGACTGTGTTTGAGTTTATAAAAGCTTTTTACAACTTTCAGAGACCAGAGCGGAGTGTATCGTTATGTTAAAGCTGTATTAGCATGCAAACGGCGTATATCCTGTTTCAAAATTGAATGCAGGCAGCACACATCACTTTCATTTTCACCCTAAGAGCTGCTTAAATTACACCTGTACTGGGACAATACAGATTTTACAGGGCTGTAGAGAGATTGATTGAGAGATTATTGAGATTTGACCTAATTGCATGAAAAAAAATCAGGTACAGCTCCTTAGAAATAGAAATAAATTTAAGATTCGTGTATTTGTAAAGGTCAGTGGTCAGTTTGGGTCTTTAGTTATAAACGTTCTCCTCCTCTTCCTCCTCCTCGTCCTCCTGGTGCCATAAAGACTGAATAAAACTGTGAATCTAAATGAGTTATTTCAAAGGTGAGGAAAAATTGTACTCAAGTAAAAGTGACTACTGTGGAGAAACGCAGTGCAGCGGCCAAGAAAACAGCTTCAGGTCCAGAAACGATGCAAATTCACAAACTCAAACACAAGAAACGTGGTGCAAAAGAAAAGAAAACAAAACACGAGAACCCGCAAGAAACAAAGACAAATGTGTCATCATGAAATGCGCCGCAAATAGAGAAACGACGGAAATCACAAAACGGTGAAAACCAAGAAAACACAGAAAAACAAAAACTGTTGCATAAAAAGTCACCACAACCTGCAGGGGGCGCTCTCAGTGTCACAGCTCAATGGAGATTCTCCATTTAGTACAAATGATTGTTACGGCGAATCCAGGTGCAAATCTGTCGCTGTGAAATACAGTAAAATAAACGTCACGTGATGTACGGCGTCTACAGTGATATTTATGTTATTTATAAAACACTGGATATGGATATAATCAAATAAAAGACACATTACTGTGACAAACACTGAGCTGTAACACTTTATACTTCTTTTGTGGTGACTATGCAGCCTTTATTTTATTTATTTTTTGGTTTTCGTCGTTTCTCTCTTTGATAATGACACGTTTGTCTTTAATCAGTCAGTTTTTTAATATAAAACCAAAAATAAGAAAATGAAAAAACAACTATTTTCTTCATTATTTGTCCCCAAAACCAAAATGAAAACACAGATAATGATTCGTTTTTTCAGTTTTCGATTTTGTGTTTAAATGAAAAATGGAAAAAAAGGATAACTGTTTCCTGTTTACGTGACTTCTGTGACTGCGATGTCGGACTGAACCAGGACTGATCCAGGTCCGGGACCAGACCGGAACCAGACTGGGACTGAGACCGGGACTCAGACCAGGACCAGACCGGGACCAGAGCAGGACTGAGGCCAAGACCAGACTGTGACCAGACTGGGACCAGACCAGGACCAGAGCAGAACTGAGACCGAGACCAGACCAGGACCAGGCTGGGACTGAGACCAAGACCAGGCCGGGCTCAAAGCTGAGGCTCGGGGTCGAAGCTCAGAATTCGCTCTGTGCCCGCTCTCGTCCCGCTCTGGTCCTGCTCTGATCCTGGACCTGGATCAGTCCTGATTCAGTCCATATGCAGTGCA